CAGGGTGGCTCGGCCAAGGCCGAGCCACCCTGAGGTGGCTCGGCCAAAGCCGAGCCACCCCAGGGTGGCTCGGCCAAGGCCGAGCCACCCTGAGGTGGCTCGGCCAAAGCCGAGCCACCCCAGGGTGGCTCGGCCAAGGCCGAGCCACCCTGAGGTGGCTCGGCCAAAGCCGAGCCACCCCAGGGTGGCTCGGCCAAGGCCGAGCCACCCTGAGGTGGCTCGGCCAAGGCCGAGCCACCCATGGGTGGCTAGGCTCAGAACTGTGCAAATGCACAGTTCTGAGTGCCTATAAATAGGCCTTGTGCTCATTTGTTTCGGAGGGGGGAAATTTTGGAGAGAGGCGAAGCCCTGCTGGATTGAAGACTCAGATCTAAAAAAAGATCACAACTTTGAAGGCTTGGAGACTTGGACTTTCAGATCCGGTGCTCGCAGATCTCAGATCTACGCGTACGAACTCCGGATCTAGGCTTGGTCTTAGATCCCGAGACTTGGACGGTTGTTTCCTTGGTGAAACAATCCTCCCCGGCTATTATTCCCTTGGTGGAATATTACCCGTCATATCGTGTAGATCCGACCGGATCGAGATCACGCGGTGGTCCACGGCAAATAACCCCGGCGCAGGCAAAGAACCCACCAAAGCGAGCGACCGCAAAACAGGAGCTCACGTCAGCGGCGAAGGCGGCGGACGGAGGAGCTCGAGCTCGAGCTCGATAGAGAGAGAAAGAAAAAGAAGAGAGAGAATGTACGAGTGAGAGAGAGAGAGAGAAGAGAGTACGAAGAGAAAGAGAGAGAGCTGGGCGTTTAAATAGATAAAAAAAATAATAAAAAATTAAAAAAGATAAAATAAAATAATGAATACGGAGCTAGGGCTGGAGCTCGTCGGCGACTGCGGGCTGAGCTCGAGCTCGAGAGAGAGAGAGAGAGAGAGAGAGAGAGAGAGAGAAGAGAGTACGAAGAGAAAGAGAGAGAGCTGGGCGTTTAAATAGATAAAAAAAATAATAAAAAATTAAAAAAGATAAAATAAAATAATGAATACGGTGCGCGTGCCGCCGTCATTTTTGAAAAAATGCGGAGGGAGAGAACGGGGTTGTTGGGTAGCTGATAGGGGTTTAACGCGGGAAGAAAAAGCTGGGGTTATTTTCAAATGGGTTCAGGTATTTAAACAAAAATAATTAAAAATAATAATTTCGGGTACTTAAAAATTAAACTAATTACATAATAATTATCTACAAATAAAAAGGTACATTTTGAGCTAATACAACAGTTGATATGAAACTGTCGAAAATATACCCGTATTGTACAATTAAACGAAAATAATTAATAATAAAAATATATTTACTTATATTTAAAATCAAATAATTATGTGACAATTATCTACATGATAAAACGTAGCAGTTGTACTAATACGACCAATAATACGCAATAGTACAAGAAATTATACAATTAATACGTAGTTAATAATACAGCGTATTATACAAAAATATACGTAATAATAATAATAATACCACGTATTATTCAAAATGATACGTAATAGTATCGGTAACACAACGGATAAATCCCAGAAATTTTCATTGCACTAAATTAATTTATAAATATAAAAACCATTTAAATAAATATAAAATTTAGACTTTAAATCATAGAAAATTCTAGAAAATCGAGAAAAATACAAATACTCTTTTAAAAATCATAATTAAATACTTTAAAATACTAAAAATTTATTTTAACTAATATCAAAATTTTACGGTCATTACACTTTTTTTGACAAAAAATAAAAAGAAAAATATTTAGAGAGTGAGTTGGAGCAAATCTCTAAATTCCACTCATTAAATTGGAGAGTGGAATTTGGAGAGCATGGTTGGAGATGCTCTAAGTTTTTTTTTGAAAAGAGATGCTCTTAGTTTGAGAATTGCATCTTGATGCATACAATGAGTTTCCACATTTAAATCTTATTTGTTTGCAATGGATATTAAAAGGATTTGCGTGGAAGATAAAAATGCAGCTAATTATTCTTCTTTGTTTGCACATGAATTTTGTTGAGGATATGTGACTAAAATCACAAATCCACTTGAAATCAACATAATTTTAGAGGATCATATTTGATATAATTATCCTACGGTGGCAACCCCAAATCCATGACATGACAAATAAAACACAAACAACTCATTTGATAAAAATCTAGGATTTTAAACCTGTGAATCTCATTTCGCAATACAACAACTACCAAATGCATGGAAACAAACAGTCTAAAAAAAAGTCATTAGTTGAGGGGTATTTTAGTCATTGAGAGACCAAATTATATCCGAGGGAGTCATGAGCAATTTCAAAGGTATCAGGGACTAATATTGAAATTATTGAAGATATATGCAAATTACCCAACAAGAGAACCTCAGTCAGCCTTCATTTGTTTACAAGAGGACCGAAACGAAGGGTTTTTGACCCTAGAATCGCCTCCGTCTCTCTCGACATCCAACAATGGCGTCAGCTAGGGTTTTGTTCNGCGGAGGTCATCTCTCTCTCATCTTTATTAATTTCCATATGAGCGCCCTCTTAATTTCTTTGAGAAATGCGTGAGATGTTGGATAATCAATGTGACCACATTCCCCAATTTCATTTCCCTCGATTTTGTTTGCATTTTTTAATTTGTTTGTTTTGATGCAACTTTTGATTGATCTTACTCTCTGTGAGAATTTGATTTCAGGTCCGTTTAATTAGGCTTATGGTATTTTTTTAAAGATCGCACCTTTCCCCTTTTTGTTTGAAAATTTTCATTAATTAAGCTTACTGTAAGTGTATCAGCCACCAATTAGATTTAGACCATTATGTTTTCTTATTCAACTTCGCATTTTTGCTTCAATTCGTGTACTTGTTGTTAAAATTTTCTAGGAAGTTGGTGCAAATAATTCAATATATTTAAGAACATGATAGCTTGATGTTTTTGTACCAAACTAACTTATATAGCTTTTGTTTGAAGGTTACGGAAATGTTATATTTTAACATAATTATAATAATATCTTGTTACGAAGAAAAGGGGAAAAAATTGGAGCTCTCAACATTTTCATATCATTCTTTCTCAAGATCTCAAGATAAAAATAAAAAATATAATTATAATAATATCTTGTTACGAAGAAAAGGGGAAAAAATTGGAGCTCTCAACATTTTCATATCATGCTTTCTCAAGATCTCAAGATAAAAATATTTATTTTATCTTTCTGCAGATCATCATGGACCGCCAAAGGTTAACTTGTGGGAAGACCCGCTCAGCCCTTCTAAATGGAAGGAAGAGCATGTAAGCTTTGTAATTTACCAGAAAAAAGTTCTTTTTTAATGTAATTTTTTAATTACTTTAGGACATGGCAGCTAGGTTTATTATGTTTCTGGCACGCTATAAATTTATGATTTCCTTCTAGTTACTATTATATTGTACATTTAAGTCGTCAGCTTACTCATCTATCATACTGATTGATTGGTCAATATCATGAATCACTTGATCTCTAATTTATATGCTTCAGATTGGTTCAAACTTCAAAGTATTACAACTATTTCTCTTCTAGTAAAATTAAAATGATGTGAAAAATTAGTTACTTTAGGCTTCCGTTTAGCTCTCTTATATGAGGTACACAGAGATAGCAGTTTTTCTGAGTATAATTGTCTTTGTAAAAGATGATTCTGTTTTTGAAGATAAATTTTTTCCCTCTTGAACGTGTGACTTTCTAGTTTTTGTTTAGATGACCTCTTTATCATAGCTTTCTTTGCTAAACATATGACATTACCCATGAAGGCTTGTTTCAATTTGATAATTTGTACAGTTTGGTCATTTCCTTGAGGAGCGATTTTGGGTTTGGGTTTTGTAGCATGGATTTCTGAAAGTATGAGTTTGGCAAAGGTTTAAAATAGTATTCCAGCTAGATTTTAGGTCTTTCCAACTTCTTATTTTATTTTTGTTTTGACTGTTGTAACAATGAACCCAGTAAATATTGATGGAATGGCTAATAAGCAATCAGAGTGAAGAACTGCAAAACCTCTATTTGAAATGTTCTTGTGCCCATACAACAAGTGATTTCAAATGTCTTTGATGTGTCACCACATTTATAGATTATTCGTGTCGATATTCCATATGATTTTTTGTTCTACTTGTAAAGTTATGTGTGAAATATATGTGGTGTTTGGTCTCTTGCAGTTCGTACTTGCTAGTTTGGGTGGTTGGGGTTTGCTGATTTATGGAGGATTCAAACTTTTTGGTGGGAAGAAAGAAACGAAAGAAGAGGTAAATTTTATTCTCTACAACTGCAAATCTGAACTCTCCATTAACAGATGACGTGATCTAATAATTTAAAAAGAACTTTTGCTTAGTGGTTTCTCTTTTTCTCCTGAAATAGAATTATATTCAGTTATATTTTTCATTAAACATGTTCTCCATTGCTTTACTAGACAGATACTATTGCATGCCTTATTTGCGAACTGTTTTATTGGAAGCAGTTAGTTTTCTGATCTTACTCTGCATCTTTTGACAAATTGTTGCACGTCATGTATATGTTTGGAATCCTCAGCTGCTGGATGATACAACTGCATATTGGTGTGTCTTGTTCTCTTGTTTATGTGTTCCTTTAGTATTTATAAATCCCAGCGTCTGTTGTCGTGGCTACTGTGTTCAACATATAATCTTCTTGCTGGATCTGCATTAATATCAATGAATGGATTGACTGGGATATTTCATGAAGTCATTTCCAGTTTTGCACCTTATCTTTAGGCATGGACTTAGTTAACCATAAACATCAAATATTATTCGACATGTATTTTCTTAGTATTGTACTTGCAGTTGTTTAGTTGAACCCTTTGCGTCAAATTATTTATTTCCCATTTTCTTTTATGTTGCAGGCTGTACCTGAAGCAAAGCAGTAGAGTAGTTAGCGCCAAGTTACTGTCGTTTTTGATCTGTGAGTGCCGGGAAATAAAGTTAACAAGTAATATGGTAAACCTATGAAATGGTTGTCCTTGTTATGGTTCATGAAGTTTGGGTAATATGTGCATGACTTGATTTTCCATGTAATTTCAATGAGTACTTTAATGCAAGGCAAGCATAGTTCTTGCTGTAGATCCCAATTTTGATTGAATGCCATAAAAGACTGTTACTAACTTTTGGAGTAGGTTTATTTTTTAGCTATCACCCTTCATGCCATGTTTCGTTAAATTTTATTGAAACAGTACACTACTCATTATCTGAGCTCTCTAATTGATCGTTTTGCCACTAGTTATCAACTATTATTTTCTGGATGTTCTCTGTTGCTAGCTCCTACACGATGGTTTCAAGTAATGTAATTAATGAGTCCCAATTTTCAAATAAAGAAAGGAAAAGCACAAAGTATATAATTGGATCCAAAAACTTGAGTCATATCCAGAAATAGGATTATGGTGCTAGGTTTCTGTATTCTTCTACTGCAGTTTGGTGCATGATGAAATGGATTGTTATAGACTTATAAGCATCATAAGTGAGCTTTTTTATAACAGATAATTGGTAGTTTCTCTTTGCTTAATTCTTTAGCAGCGGATGTTTTTATAATATTTGTTCAAGTGACTATTTTTCATTGGTCTGTGGGTTGGATTGTGTCTAGGAACGAGCTAGCTGAATTTGAGCTATGAGTTCCTTTTGCATGACAAAAGACTGTTGCATAGAGGGACTTGATTTAACAAAGCCCTGTGTGCAAGTTCTTGTATGAGCCTAAGTTAATGTAACCAGTTTAGGAGGTTCTTACTTCTCAGCGTTGAGAAAGTGCTCCCAAGGTTTTGGGGCATATACCCTTCCTTGCACCTAGCAACCTTTTCCCCCTCGCTAGGATTTCATTGCCCGGACATAAGACTTGATGTCAACTTGAGTCGTCCATAGGGAATATATGACATTATAAAAGCTCATCGAATCGAAACTAATGCATAATATTTGATAGTTAGGCATGTGCTCAAAGTGAGACAGCAAATATGCAATAGAAGTGATAGTCAGGAACTACAATGTGCTTTCTAGTTAAAGTCACTGATTCTGTGTAAATGCGACAAATAAGCAATTTCTACGGATGACTCAAGTTAAAAAAACAATTATGCAAATAGTTAACTACAAGCTGGTTTCTAGTTAAAATTGACTAATAAGCAATTCTATGAATAATAACTTTCCTTGAAGATTTGAATACATCGAATATTGTTTAAAGGATACACTGATGATCAGTCTCTAAATTAGGCTGCATCTTGGCTGCTATGGTCATGTACTTTTTAAGTTGTCTCTTCCTGGTCTTTTGTTTCACTACCACTGGATTTATCATCTTTTTCTGATATTTGGTTCTGATGGTCATCGGCGTCATTGCTGGTATCAGATTGCTCGGTGACCGACTTTGCATTAGCACCTGATTCTTCCTTGATGATCTCATCCTGATTCTTAGCATCGTCCTCTTTTTCTGAGTTCATATCTACAGAATCTCCAGTTTCATCATCGCTGTCACCATTCTCAGCCTCGTCTTGTTGAGAACTCTCAGGCCCCTCTGAGCGCTGCTTCTTAGACCATCTCCAATAGGGGACAATTCAAATTCACTTTATCCCCTTCCACATAACCTGCCACATCATCAAATGTCTCCACTATCACATACACTCCACAATAGAGGATAATTTAGGAAATAATTCACTTTTCTATCTCTCCTCATCACTCCCCATCATATATTTTATTATATTATATTTTTTCATATGTGATATATGTATTATAATTAATATAATAATAATAATATAATTTTTTATTTTTTTATTTATAATTATTTAATTTTGATATTTATCAAATATTATTACAATATTAAAAACAAGACAAGATTTTATTGATGTAGATAAATCAACAGTACAATTTATTAAAAACACACAAAACAAACTAAAATTTGACAAAATTAAAATCGAAAGTTGAAAATTAAATTGCGGTTGCTCCAAACTTTTGCCAAATGTGCTCGACAAGATCCTCCTTCAATTGAAGATGTTTGGCCCTATCTCGGAGTTCAGATCTAGTATGAATATCTGATTCGGACCTACCTTGAACATGCACTTCAAACTGAGGTAACGTTTGTGTTTGGTAATCAAATGATGAGCTCGAGCTAGCAATGCTTGATGGTTCAAAGTCAACGTTCTCCCAGTTTCGACTATAAGTATCTCGTTCATCCTCCACTATCATATTGTGTAAAATAATACACGCTCTCATAATTTTTGATAAGACATTCAAATCCCACATTCTAGCTGGTTGACGAATTATAGCAAAACGTGCTTGGAGAACCCCAAATGCACGTTCCACATCCTTCCTACAAGATTCTTGTTGTTTTACAAACAATTTCGCTTTTTCGCCTTGGGGATATTGAAATGATTGGACAAAGACAAGCCATTTGGGATAGATTCCGTCAGCAAGATAGTATGCCAAATTGTATTGATGACCATTCACAGTGAAGTTCACATGCGGAGCTTCACCTGCCTCAATGTCATCAAAGACAGGTGACCTTTCAAGCACATTTATATCATTCAATGTACCTGGCAATCCAAAAAATACATGCCATATCCACAAGTCATAAGAAGCAACCGCTTCGAGTATTACTGTTGTTGTGCCTTTATGTCCACTGGTAAATTGACCTTGCCAAGCCTTAGGATAATTTTTCCATTGCCAATGCATGCAATCAATACTTCCAATCATTCCCGGAAAACCGCGTTCTTCGCCTACTTTTAGTAGTCGTTGGAGGTCTTCCTCATTCGGCCTTCTCAAATAGTCATTCTCAAATATGGCCACAATACCTTCACAAAACTTGCTGACACACTCTACTGCAGTGGTTTCTCCAATCTTTACGTATTCGTCACAAGCATCAGCTGCAACACCATATGCTAACATGCGTATAGCAGCAGTACACTTTTGAATTGGTGATAAACCACGCTTTCCAGCACTATTTCTCCTCTGAGTGAAATACGTGTCATAATTTGAGAGAGAATCTACAATTCGTAGAAATAGTGGTCGTTGCATTCGGTATCTCCGACGAAATTGGTGGTCGGTGTATGTGGGAGATTCGACAAAGTAGTCTTTCATCAGCCTTTGATGGGCAGCTTCATGGTTTCTCTCTATGTATGTCCTCTTATGGGATCGATTACTTGCAGCTTGTAACTCTTCAAGTAACTGTTGTTGGCGTTTGAGTAAAGATTCCTCCAAATCACATTATTTTTGGAGTTCCTCTAAGTTAAACTCGTATGGGGGTGGATTCATCTAAGTAATAATTGTGTAGATGAAATTGGTAATGAAGTGATGTGTAATAAGTTCAATATCCAAGTGGTATTTATATTACCCAATCTTAGATTTTCAGATATCACATGTGAAGAGATAAGGTTTGTTTGTAGTGTGCAAAGATCACATGTGAAGCAACATTGATTTTGAGATGTTCAAGAGATAAGGTTTGGACTGTAGTGTGCAGAGATCACATGTGAAGTAACATTGCTTTTGATATGTTCAAGAGATAAGGTTTGGACTGTAGTGTGCAGAGATCACATGTGAAGTAACATTGCTTTTGATATGTTCAAGAGATAAGGTTTGGACTGTAGTGTGCAGAGATCACATGTGAAGCAACATTGATTTTGAGATGTTCAAGAGATAAGGTTTGGACTGTAGTGTGCAGAGATCACATGTGAAGCAACATTGCTTTTGATATGTTCAAGAGATAAGGTTTGTTTGTAGTGTGCAGAGATCATATGTTTGGACTTTTACGTACAACATAATTGAGCTTTGCTTTTCAAATTTCAAATGACTTACATACAAAGGAATTGTTTGCAGGAACCAAGATGCATTTTATTGAACAATACACTCAGACATCACATTCTAACAATACACTCAGACATCATACTCAGACAATACACTCTTAACATCATACTAAACAACACACATTACATTTATTCTTGGAATTGTAAAAGATGAACTCTCAAACAGATAAACTTAAAGGCCAAACAATTCGATCTGTAGCATGTTAAGCAGTTTATACTCATACTCGTCCAATGCATTTCTTTGATTTCTCTGATTAAGGTCCATCCACATTTTCATTTTTTCAGCACGTGCTGCCTCCTTTTGAGCACATGCTGCCTCCTTTTGAGCTGTTGCAACTTCTTGCATCATCTTCATCTGTTGTTCCTTCATTTCTTTTAGCTCCTGGCGTTCAGACTCTATCTTAGAGTATTCCTCCTCAATAACAAGTTTCGATCTTCTAGAGGAGCCCTTAGATTTTTTCTTTGTCGTGTCTCTACCTTCTGGGCGTACAAAAGAAGGAACTGATGAGCATGAGATATCACCTTCCCCGCTATTTTTCCTTTTACTTCCACTACTTTGAGATGCACCAGATCCAACCATATATTTTGGTTCATTACGAACCAACTTCCATTCTTCAAGCAAAGCAAAGTTTTTTTTAGTTTCTTCAACAAACAAATCTTGAGCTCTTGCTATGTAGTTGTCGTCTGACCAACCGCTACGCCTCTCTGCTAATGCTTTTCTGTATACACCAACCCACTTACCAATTTTTTGTTGAGATCACTGTGTTAAAGTAAGAGAGAGAGAATCTTGGGTAAATTTTCCTTGAATTGAATATTGAGTATGCACATATATTTATACAAGTAGAGTGTGAGGTTTGTTCTCCCAAGCAATGTGGGACTAAAACCCACTACAATACACTATTATCAACAGCCCCTTCAAACTCATGTTGGATCAAACAAAGTAAGTTTGCGTACAAGAAACTGGAACCGATGAACATGTAAGGCCTTTGTAAAGAAATCTGCAAGCTCGTCAGCGGATGAAACATGAGGAAGTAGAATTGTCTTGTCCTTGATAACTTAGTGACGGACAAAATGAGCGTCGATCTCAATATGTTTGGTCCTTTCATGAAATACTGGATTATTAGCAATCTGGATGGCACTCTTATTATCACGGTAGAGAGGAGTAGGAGTCGTAACAGAAATGCTGAAATCACTGAGAAGGCGACGAGGATGAATAATCTCTTTAGCTGTTGTGGACATTGCACGATACTCTGCCTCAGTACTAAAAAGAACAATAACATCTTATTTCTTACTTCGCCAGGAAATAAGGGAATCACCAAGAAATATACAATAACCTGTGGTAGACTTTCTGGTAGTTGGATCACCGGTCCAATCAGCATCAGAATATGCACAAAGCTCTAACTTAGATGTAGCAGGAAACAAAAGAGAGCGAGTGCTAGTACCCTGGAGGTACCGAACAATCCGTAATAAGACAGCATAGTATACAGAACGTGGAGCACTAATAAATTGACTGACAATACCAACAGCATGAGAGATATCTGGTCGAGAGATGCACAAATAGACCAACTGGCCAACAAGATGTCGATATCGGGTAGGATCAGATAGAGGCTCACCGTCAGTAGAGCAAAGTTTGACATTCTGCTGGAGTGGAGTATCGACAGTTGTATTATCAGTTAACTCAGCTTGATTTAGAATATCTGAGAGATACTTCTGTTGAGACAGTAATACACCCCGCGGGCCTTGAGAAATTTCTAGACCAAGGAAATACCGAAGAGATCCAAGATCCTTCATGTGGAACTGTTGTTGCAACTGAGATTTTGCGTATTGTATACCTGTCATATCATCACCTGTAATGATCATATCATCTACATAGATGAGTAATAAAACCCTGCCACGCGATGTAGTGCGAACAAACAGAGAAGCATCTTGATGACTTTCTATAAAGCCCGCTTTGAGCACAACATCGCGAAAACACTCAAACCAAGCGCGGGGTGCCTGTTTGAGACCATAAACAGCACGACGAAGGAGACATACATGTCCCGGAGGAATATTTGACCCTGGAGGCGGTTGCATATATACGGTCTCTGATAAAGAGCCATGAAGAAAAGCATTTTTGACATCCATCTGGTATAAGGGCCAACGATGAGCAGCAGCGACCGCAAGGAGAGTACGCACAGTGGGCATCTGAGCAACAGGAGCAAAGGTCTCCTCATAATCAATACCTTGTTGCTGAGTAAAACCTCTAGCCACTAAACGAGCTTTTCGACGTTCAATGGTGCCATCAGGACGAAACTTGACCTTATAAACCCATTTACTGCCAACAAGAGAGATCCCAGGAGGACAGGGAACAATATCCCAGGTATGAGTTTGCTGAAATGCTTGAAATTCCTCAGCCATAGCTTGTCGCCACTCTGGAATTTGAACTGCCTCTTGGAAGGACTTTGGCTCAACAATAGTATGAATGGCAGCAAGAAAGTTATGAAAGATAAGTAAATAAGAAGTAACAGAAGCATACCGGGCAGGCATGACATGTGGGCGTTTGCCTCGACGAAGAGCAAGAGGAACCTCAGGCAGGGGAGATGCTGGCGCAGGTGCGTGGAGATCAACAGTATTTTCTGGAGTGAGAGTTGTGTCCATGGGATATGAATTAGATGGTGTAAGAGAAGACTCGGGTGAGGAAGAGTCAACAGAAGGAGAGGGAGAGATGTCAGGGAGATCTCGAAAGGAAAATTGAGGTGAAGAAGTGGGTGATGCAGTTGACGAGGAAGCATGATCAGTAGAGTGGAGGAAATTAAAGTCATCAGAAGCAGAATAATATGGAGAATCCTCTTCGAACTGAACATGACGAGATATATGAACTCGACGAGTTGCTGGATCATAACAACGATAACCTCGATGTTCTGAACTAATTCCTAAATAAACATAAGAAACAGCTCTGGGAGACAATTTATCACGTTCGTGAGATGGCAGAAGAACAAAACATCGACAACCAAAAACGCGAACTAGATTATAACGGGGAGGATGAGTATAAACACGACTATAAGGAGTAGCACCGGAAAGAGAGCTAGATGGAGTGATATTAATGGCATGAGTCGCGGTGAGAATAGCCTCAGCCCAAAAATGACGAGGAACATAGTAAGAAATGAGCATTGATCGAGCAGTATCGAGGATATGACGATGTTTGCGTTCAGCAACACCATTTTGCTCATGAGTGTAGGGACATGACTGTTGAAAGATAGTCCCATGAGAGGACATGATAGAGCGCATGGCAGAGGATAGGTACTCTTTGGCACAATCAGAACGAAAAACTTTAATACGAGATTGCCATTGAGTGAAAATCATAGCAGTGAAGGCTTGATAAGCAGTAAGTACGTCAGAGCGATTCTTAAGTAGGTAAACCCATGTAAAACGAGAGAAATCGTCGATAAAACTAACATAATATAAGTAGCCAGATGAAGAAGGCAAAGGAGCTGGCCCCCAAATATCAGAATGTACTAAATCAAATAAGGAAGTGGATACAGATGTACTCATTTTAAATGGTAAAGCAGTGAATTTAGCCAATTTGCAACCAGCACATGACTCAATACTAGAACTAGATGATACAGGACCAAGTACTCCAGACTGAATAAGACTCTCCAGCCTTTTATTACACACATGACCAAGTCGTCTATGCCATAAATTGGCAGGAAGCGAGGTAGAGGGTTTTGACGAACGAAGAGAAGCAATAAGAGAACGTGGACGTATGGACTCTAGAAGGTAAAGATATTCCAGAAAATACAGTTTGTGCCTCCTACGATCCGCCCCAACCGTCTTGCCCGTCTGTGGATCCTGCACAATACAAGTATCAGAAGAAAATGAGACAAACAAGCCCGCCATGCATAAAGAGCTAATAGAAATTAAATTCAAGCACAATTGTGGAGCCACATAGACGGGACCAAGTGTTAGACGACCAGATGGATCATTTTGTGGGGTAATAGAGCCATACTGAGTAATGGACAATGGTTGTCCAGCAGCTGTGTAGATAGGAGGAAGAGAGGATGAAGTAAAGACAGAGGATAAAAATGAGGCATTACAAGTCATATGAAAGGAACAACCAGAGTCAAAAATCCAGAGATCATTCATACCAGAGACCGAAGGATTAGCTGAAGAACCAGCAAAATGCATAGCAGAGAGTTGTGCGGCAGATGTAGAGGTGATATGTTAGAAAGCATCAAGTTGACGGCGAAGACTTTCAATAGCTTGAATAGTAGAGTCTGAAGTAGTAGAAGGTATAGCATTGGCCAACAATCCTGGTGTACGAGAGGGTTGAGACTGAGGGGGTCGCCGACCACGTCCAGTACCTGAGGAACGTAACTCAGGATGAAGCTTGAAGCATGTCTCAATGCGGTGTCCTTCCTTCTTACAATATTTGCAAGAGAGCTTAGATCGAGCCTGTGGAGAGGGAGCCTGTGGAGAAGTATAATTCATAACAGGAGCAGTGACAGGTACAGACAAAACAGTCTCGAGTGAAGAGGTAGGAGTGTCTGTTGACAAATTGAGTCGTGCTGTCTGCTGTCGGGTCTCATAAGCAATGAGAGCTCCCATAACTGAGGCCAAAGTCGGAAATTGAGGCTGATGAAGTAGTTGATCAGCCATAGTTGAATATTCAGGAAGGGACTGAAATAGTTAATGCACCTCATGCCGTTCGTGCCAGGCTAGCCAGTCTTCATATGTGGAATTACGTCCAGGAAGCATGGAGCGTAACTCTATCCAAAAAGCTTGCATTTGTCCAAAATGGGACTGCAGAGATGAACTACCTTTGCGTTGTAGAGCAATGTGTTGCAGAAGATATGCCTCCCGTGCACCCGAGCACTCAGTGAAACGCTCAGTGAGACGAGTCCACATGGCCTGAGCAGAGGGAAGCGAGCCAATCTCGACAGTGAGACCAGAGCCAACACAGCGAGTGAGATAATCCATAACACGAAATTCCTGCAATTGCCACTCTGAACTCTCCTTGACATAGAGAGCACGAGCAGTCTGAAGATCGACATCACCACTGCCAGAGGCAATAGTACTGGATGAAGCAACAGTGCTGATGGACGGTGGAACTGGTCCCGTACTGGTGAGATGATCAAGCAAACCAGCGCCACGCAAGGCATTGGTGACAATGGTGGACCACCCTGCCCAGTCACTTTGATCATTGAGGGGCAAAGGTGGTTTGGGAATCTTCTCTGAAGGAGCCATAACAGCAATGTTGAGACGTTAAGATGTCGAGATGCCGTTACTGACTGCGAAACGGCAATGCCGTTCGTTTGAGGCCGAGAGACGGCTTGAAACGACGATGCCGTTAATTTGAGACCGAGAGACGGTCTTAAAACGGTAATGCCGTTAAATAGAACCCGAAGGTTAGAATGAAAACCCGAAGGTTTAAACGAGAACGCGAAACACGTTAAGAGGCCGCAAAGCGACAATGCCAAAATATCTGGCAGAAAGAAAAAAAAACATTAAACGGCTGCAAAGCAATAAGGTCAAGATTTGACAAAAGAACGCAGAAGCGTTAAAAAAAATTTATTGGAAGGAAAATAGCCCTAGCTCTGATACCATGTTAAAGTAAGAGAGAGAGAATCTTGGGTAAATTTCCCTTGAATTGAATATTGAGTATGCACATATATTTATACAAGTAGAGGAGTGTGAGGTTTGTTCTCCCAAACAATATGGGACTAAAACCCACTACAATACACTATTATCAACACACTGTAATGGCTTTTACATTGTTGTTGACTCCTATGAGGGCCAGTTGTTGAATGCTCATTCAAGTAAGCAGCAATTTTACCCCAAAAAGTATCACCCTTTTGGCCACTACCCAATTCACTATCATTACTGAAGTGAAAATAACTAGTTAAAAGTAGTTTGTTTTGCTCGACACTCCAAACCGAATAACTAGATTTAGAAGTATTTTTTTGTGTTTGGGGCAAAAAACTATGTGGTGTGTCATCACCAGCACTTCCAAGAGATATTTGAGTGGAAAACTCGGGTACATCTGTTGATCCACTGCTAAAATGAGGAGTAACTTGCTCGGTGTTTTGATTATTGATATTGGAGAAACCACCATAATTACTTCCACCAGTTTGTTGCCCATATTGCATATAAGGGAAATTATAAGGATATTGCATACCAAAATTAGATGGCATCATATACGGCATCTGAAAATTGGATGGCATGTTTTGAAGATTTTCAGGACGTTGATTATTGGAATTTTGAGGTTGGTTAGGAAACATATAAGTTGGGGGACGATTAAAATTTTGATTAGGGTCCATTTTGAAAGAGAGCAAAGAAGTTGGAGGAATTTTGAAAGAGAGCAAAGAAGTTGGAGGAAGAAAGAAAATACTCAAAAAATTTTGGTGTCCAAATGAAGCAAAGTTGGTCTCTATTTATAGATCTCGAAAAAAGAAAATTAATGGTGAATTTTTTTTTTAATTTGATCAATTTATTGGTAAAAAAATACCATTTAAAAAGAGGGTGGAAAAGAAAAATGCATCAACCAACACGAAGCCGCCACATGTCGCGATTGCACCTCACCTCCTTTGTGTTTTCTCCTACGGATAAATGAGCACTCCAGCAGCAAACAATTGCTTTTACAATGACACATGGCGCGATTTGATTGCTTTTCACTACAATAATTCTAGATTTATTGAATAATTCCCTCCAAAAGCCACATCACTTCACCTTTACAATTATTCTTTGCTGGAGCAAATAATTCACCCAATTATACACTAGTGGAGATGGTCTTAGATGTTATCTCCTCAGTGCTGTCTCCAATGTTGATTTTTGAAACTTCACCATTTTCAGCAGTATTCTCAGCATCAGTTTGCTTTTCGAAGGACTTGGTATTATCATCTTCTTCCTTGACAACTCCATACTCTGTCTGAGCATCACTTTCCTTATCAGTTGCAGCTCCGGTTTTATCATCACTATCTTCGTTCTTAGTTTTATTATCTTCAGAATTGTCGGGCTTTTCTGGTTGCTCACTAATAGATGTTATTTCCTTATTTTCCACCTCAAAAATTTTGTTAATTCCATCTCCTTCGACTTCTAATCCTCCTCTACCATCTTCTGGCTGTTGATAGGTAGAAACATCATTATCTTCTCTTGCTTCTGCCATGGCTTCTGAATTGCTTTGGCCATTGCTATTAGAAACTTCATGAATTTCTGAACTATTAGCGGCATGAATTCTTTCTTGATGCCCGCCTTCCATCTCTTTGTTCTCTTTATTTACATTTATGTTAACTTCCCTTGCTCTATCACTGCCTTTCCTCCATCTTCTTCTACCTTTGCCTCTGTTTTTGTTTCGTCTCACTTTAGGCTCCTTGATTATGGGCTTTTCTTGTTGCTCATTTCGAGAAGCCTCCACTACTTCTTTCTCCAGATTGTTCACTGTTTCTAGATCATTTTTAGCCTCTTTGCTCCGTTCTTGAACCTCCGTTATGCTTTCTTGCCTCATTTCACTCTCTTCAGCTTTGTCAGACTCTCGTTCTTTCTTCTCCTCGCCCTCTGGTTTTTCTTCGCCACTAGTGAGCTCTTCGCTCTGTTCATTTACCTCCGCCGTGCTTTCTTGACTTGCTCGTGTTTCTTGAGAATTTGTGGTCTTCGCCAGTTGATGGTTTTCTGAATCTTGCGTGTTTTCACCATCTGTCCCAGGATTATCATCTACAGTAGTCTGCGAATTCACCAATTTTTCATCTTTAGCTATACCTTCATTATTCATTTCAGTTGTATTGCTGACGTTCTCTATTGTTCCCTGTTGGAAAGTAGTGTCATTTTCATTGGCAACTACTTTCTTAAGTTGTTGCTTCGCTTCTTCAAGCTCTGTTTCCTTTTTCTTCAAGAGTTCAGTTATTTCTGCCGCTCGAAGTTCTGTGGGCTCTTCGTCACTTTCTTGTCCCATTTCACCCGCTTCAGATTTATGTTCTTTTTCCTCATTTACCTCCATTGTGCTTCCTTGGGAATTTGTGGGTCTCTTCTTTTGATCATTTTCTTCTCCCATGACTCCGTCTTTTCCTTCTTTAGGAGTATCTTCATTTGCATTGTTAGGGTTTTCTATTGTTTGATCTTGGATAGTAGTGTTGTTTTCAGGCGTGCTTAGTTTATTGATTTGTTGTTTTGCTTCTTCAACCTCGGTTTCTTTCTGCTTTGAGGGTTCGGTTATTTCTGCTGCTCTAACACGTGTTCTGATCGATTCCTCCGCCTTTTCTTCCAAGGCTTTGATCTGGTTCTGCTTCTCGTCAAGGGATGCCTCCAACTCATTACGCATCTTCTGTAAACGATCAATTGTTGTTTGTGTTTGAGTGAGTTTGTTAGTGAGCTCCATCATCTGGTTTCTCAGGATGAAGTTGTTGGATCTCATGTTCTCCCATTTCATTTTCATTTCCTTCGAGTTTTCTCTCTTCCTGTTTCAACAAGGAAAAGATAACTCATTGGGTCATAGTCTAAATCTTTTGACTAGTTTTTCTACTGGGAGAATTTTAAAACATAATTAGCATGATCGACCGTTTTTCTAAATAATGAGCAAAAACGGCCTCTTTTTGTCCACGTCATCAAGGCTAGCAAAAAAGATGCCGATTTTGGCAAAAAATCATCTTTAAAATACATAGGACTACTAATCCCGTGTAGTTAACAATTGCTAATTATAAATGTGACTAAGCTCGGAATTTACACGTAACACGACACTGTTAGTCCTGTGTATTCTGAAAAAACTCCTTTTTTATCTCAGCTGCCATTGCCCAACCCCTCTTCCAGATATCCTCCCTCCTCTTCTCCTTAATCTCCTCCAATAAAATTATGATCAATAACCCCCTCCCAGTCAACCACATGTGCGAATTCGACCATCTTCACCCTCGGCCGCCTCTTCCCCTTCTCGTTGGCGGCCTCGCCTCGAGGGCGGTGGTCGAGGAAGCCTCGAGGGAGAGGGTCGAGGGCGAGGGTCGTGGTTGAGGGCTAAGCCGTGCTTGGCAACGGTGGTCGAGGGCGGAGGAGGGCAAAGGGGATGGTGAGGAGGGTGGGGAGGAGGCTATGAATCTGAAGATTGGATGAGAGAGAGAGGAACATAAGGATTCTTGGGTGACTAGGGTTTTTGAGATTGGGGAATCGGATGAGAAAGAGGAGAGAGATGAAGAAGAAGGTCGGAGGAGAGAGCGCAGGGTTGAAAATTTTAATTAACGAGAGTAATTATACGGGACTACTAGCCCTGTATATTTTGAAGATGATTTTTTTTCAAAATCGATCTCTTTTTGGCCAGCCTTAATGATGTGGCCAAAAGAGCTCGATTTTGCACATTATTTAGGAAAATGGTCGAGTAAGTTTTAAAAACGGTCTTTTTTTTAAAAATTCTCCTTTCTGTTGTGGACAGTGATAAGGGAATGTTTGAAAGAGAATATGAGCAGAAACTTAGTGAGTTGTCTTTGTATCTTGTTAAATGCAAGAATAATTGAATAAGTGATTCTGGGCTGGTTTCCATAGAATTCCTGGTAATCCATGGAAAAAGTTGTTTCTAAGAGAAATTTTTTTGTCATAACCAAAATTTTGTGTTTGTTATGAAAGAAAGTTTGCTGAATTATGCATGGAATTTCTGTCACACCAGAAAATTCCTCCTTCAGAAAGCCATCTCTTCCCTCGTGGATTTTACAAAGGACAGAAGTGGGTTGCAAATGAAATTTTTCTTTCAACTTCCTATTCAACCGAACAAAAAAATGAAAAACTAGAAAATTTAAGATTTTGGATAACTCAATTTGTCAGAATTCCAAAACCCAAATTTGGGAGACAAATAGGCTCCACACAGAACAAAGAATTCAGTTTCTAACTTAAGTTAATCAGTTTATTGTTAGATTTCATGTTGAATTCAGTATATGTGATAAAAATTATGCTAAATTTTACGTGTCCTGCTCGCATACATGATTTTATCCTTACATGTTAATCATGTAATTTATAATATTTACAGCTTTCCTTTAAGGATTGAAGTTTCTGATCATAAATTGTGCACTTCCTAAGAATCTCTTTTCCATATTTATGTATTTCTCTTATATCTTCAAAAAAGAATGCGTCTCTCTTATAAATAAAATTCTATGTAAATTTTGTCATTGGAAAAAAGTTTGTTCTGGTTTGATGAAATGCTAGGGGTTTACTAGCAAATATCATATGAACTTTATGGAATCCACTTACAACGGTCAGGTTTCATGCTACGTATTTCTAGTATCTGTTCAGCATTTGCCTTTTGATTAGAAAACAATTTCCACAAGTGTTCTCTCTAGCTCAAATGATTTCAGTTAGGATAATGAGAGAAGAGGTTTTAGTCTTAGTCTAGGATTCATTTCTTTATAAATGTGACTATAAGTGGGTGTTTGGTTGCACAATTTTATAGAAAAGTTTTCTCAAAATGTCTGACAATGGTAATTTTATAATTAAATTTTTTTGTAGATTTCCGTAAACTGTGTTTGGTTCAAAAAAATTTACAAAAATATTTTCTGTAAAGTACAAAAAATACCAAAATTTACAGAAATAAATTTCCTCTCAAAATGGGAGGAAATCACCCAGAAATCTGACACCACATTGACACTTTTCTATAAAATTAACTATTTCCTATAAATTTAGGGGGTGTTTGGTTTAATTTCTACAAATTATAGAAAATCTTGCTATTTTCTATAATTATGGGCCATTTTCTTGTTTTGAACCAAACAAGCAATGTTTAAAAAAAATTTGGTACTTTTTTACATCTCAAAACTTTTCTTATAATTTTTTAAGAAATATAAGGAAATCATATTTTGGATAGAAAATATTTTCTATAATTTGTAGAAATTAAACCAAACACCCCCTAAGATGTAATACTCTCTTCTTTTTTATTTTTTCTCTTCTTATAGTTTTCTTTTTTCTTTTCGAATCCTATATATGCCGGTTTGCTTATATATTTCAGAAATCTACTCTCAATAATCAATCTGCGAAAAGAGAAATCTTTTCCGAACTCTTACCAGGAGAACAAGCTGAAGTGCAGAGATCTCCCGTTCTTGGTCTTGAAGAAGAAGCCCGAGGACTCGCCCCTGCCTTAATTTAGTGAGCAGCATCACGCTGACCATCGCCACTCCGAGAGCCAGCGCCAGAAGCAGAAGCAATCTCTGAGATCTCTTCTTCTTCTTGGTGTTGTTGCCGCCTCCATTCATCCTGTCAATAATGCTTCTCTTATGACTGCAGTACTTTGGCTTCAGCTCTAAAGTCATTGCTACCACTTTCCTCACACTTACTCTCTCTTTACTGCTCAATCTTCAACACGTATACTTGCATGAGAAACAAAGGGTGTTGCCTTTTTCGGTTGCTTGAGGTTTGGAAAGAGAAAGCCCACCATTTTCCTACTCATGCTCTCCTCCACATCTAGTTATGTACAAACTGGTTAATGGATCTGTTTAATGCTACTTGGATTGATTAATAAGTGATTGAATTTGACTAAGCTAGGTAACGGCGATATATTTTGATAGGAAAGATAATAATTTGCAGATATCTCTCTTCGTTCATGTAGCATTTATCATATTTCATTTACTAGTGCTTATCATTGTTGAATTATGATCATCTGTGATTCGTTCTTTTCAGAATGTCAACACTAAGGGATGATAAGTGTTAATAAACGAGTTGAAGAATGACTCGTTTGAAGAATTGAAGGTAAACATGAGCTTCAGCGATTGTTTGGATGTATTGTTTGAATGTAATGAAGATAAAGATAAGGAGGGTATTTGCAATTTATCCATAAGATAACTGTTGGTCTTTTTATTTTGATAATGTTTTAACAAATAATTTATGACTAATATTGTTTGTCTAGTGTTTGTGTTTTTTTTATTTATTCTAGACAAACAATGGGTTGGAGGTTGGATGAAATCGAGCATTCACGATCATATCCATTGGAAGATGGAAGGAATAGTGGAGTGAAGCAATACAATTCAAGTCAAATATCCAATATCAAGTTTCATCCGTAAAGTTTACCAAGACGAGCTTAATTTAAGACCAATTGCTTGGGTATAATTAGTTTAGGTTTTATATTTGTGTGTAGATACTTTAAAGCTCAATATCATATACACACACAATATACATGTTTATCCGTTTTTTGGTTTATCCACAAACAAAGTTTTTACAAGCAAATAGATATATATTCATATACATACATATTTGTTTTCATGTGGATAAGTTGTTTTTGCATTATAGATATGAAACAATAGTTATATTCATATACACTTTCATATGTTTCATATTCTATTGTATTTTTGATAAAATATTATATTCTTAGTTTATAGACTTAATAACACTAGTTTACATATTTTCCTAAGTCTATAAACTCATTCAAAAGTTTTCAAAACATTGTTTTCAAAATGTCAAAAACATGTATTGTTTAGTTTTCATGTTTTTGGACTATTTTGTAAAATAAAGAGTTTTCACTATTGGGAAGTGCAGTTCCAATTTTTTTAACATGTTCATTATCATGTTTACAAGCATTTCCCAAAGTTTTATATTTTTTAGAATTTATTTGCTTTTTTTTAAAAGAGGTTTAAATTTTAATTTTACTGTTCATTTCAGGCTGATAACCTGTTATCAGTCGACTGATGGAGTTGATCAGTCAACTGATGAACTCGCCTGGAATTGCCAAAAGTTTCTGTTTTTGTGACTGATGAACTATCAGTCGACTGATGAGTTTATCAGTCGACTGATGAGGTCTTCAGTCAACTGATGTGCTGTGAGCTGCCTGTAACGGTCAGCTCACCAGTTGACTGATCCAACCCGTCAGTAGATTGACACTTATAACGGCTAGTTTTTTCACCCTTCTGTTTTTTTTTTGTCTTTTTGCTGGATTTTTTTGATTTTTGGGCTTTGTTTCTTCATCCTATATATACCCCATGCCCTCTAAACTTCTGAACGATCTAAGAAGAGTGTTTAAAGTTTGTTTAAGTTTATTTTTAATTGTTTATGTGAAGAGGTTTTCACAAGAGGAAAAAGAGATCATCATTTCGTATTTGAGCTTCAATCTCTCATCTCTTTCACTCTTGTTTTTCAGAGAAGTTTCTCTAAACTCAATTTCTAGCTTTACATATAATTGTTGTTGATTATCTTTTCATTAAGCTAGATTTTATATTGTGTTTAGTTTTCATTTCACTCATTTGAACACACACAACCTTTGAGCTTTTAGTATTTCATACATTGCGGGTTGTGGTGAGTGGTTCTTGAGTGTGGGCTTACTTGAGTTCTCACCTTGTTTAGAGAACAAATATTTGTTATTTGAGCTTCACTGTGAGATACACTTTGTAATACATTTGTATACCAAGAGAAGTGTGTGGTGAAAGACGGGGTCGATTCCAAGAGGAGTGGGGTCAGTAGTAAAGTCTAGAGAGATATGATAATTCTGAACACTTGAGGAAGGCGACACGGGCTAGACACCAACACTTAGAGGGTGTAAAGTGCGATTGCAAGAGTGTGTATTGTGAAAGTTTTCGGTGAGCTAGAAAACCGAGATTGTGTTGTTGTAAACGTTTTTCGGGTGAGCATCGAAAACCCGGTTGTGTAGTGGATTCTCCCCGGGAGTGGGGAGCGGAGACGTAGGTCGGAAGGACCGAACTCCGTGATTATTTTCTTGTGTTTAAGTTTGGCTTTGGCGTATTTATTCTTGTATATTTTCATATCGCCATTGTTGCATATTTATATCGCCCTTGTTTATATTATATATTCTTGCTCATAATTAATTGTATATCCTACTTGAAAGAATAAATTGTTAATAAGTTTTAATTGACATTAATATCGGAATAGATTAGCATAAACTTCAATAACGAGCAAATGTAATAAGAAAATTTTTTCAAGAACCCAAAATATGGGACCAATAGTGGGGACAAGTGAGGTGTGCCCCTCCTATTGGATAATGAGTTGGCCATCATTAATGATGGTCAACTTATTATCCAATAGGAGGGGAACATCTTACTTGTGTCCCCTATTGGTCCCATATTTTGGGTCCCTGTAGCAAAGCTTATGTAACAAACAATGGCAACAATCAATAATGACTGAGATTAATCAATCCCATCATCTTGAATAATAGGGATCAGGCTTTTGATGATAAGCTGAGGATCTGGTTTTGTTGAAAAAAGGGCCTCTGTATTGATTAAGGAGCAAGCGTTCATTCATCCAGTATCAAACTCTTGAGTTTTAGAAAATTGAACCCTCAAGTAATAAAATAAGCTGAGTAATACTTGAACAAGCAAAGGAAGATAGTTGGCAGATAGTATTCATTTTGACTTTGATAGACTTGGATTGCACTAATCTTATGTGTCTGCACGTTCGAAACTGCAAAAGATTAAAAAATTAAAATTAAAAATTAAAAAATAAAAAAAAGGTAAAAATAAACGATTTGCATCAAATACCCAAATAGCCAATTAATAACATGATTCTGCAAATAATTAGAGACGTCATTTGAGTAGTTAATCCATCAATTCTTTCCTAGATAACCACCTTATTTTTTCACTCCGCTTTTCAATTAGGGTTAATGGCGGACAGACCCACTCATTACTATCGCTCAATTGAGGATAGGCCTCTTGTAGTTGAAAAATTTTTCTAAACAAATTTTTTTTCTAAAAATAGACCACCTTGAGTTTTGTTTACAAAAATCGACTCATTTGTTTTAATCCGGTTTCTAAATAGTCGGAGTTGCCAACCCTGACTATTTAGTACATAGAATGTTAGGGTTTAGGGTTTGATCAGACCAATGAACTCTGAAAACTTGTGACTTAATTTCCATCATGAGAAGTATAATACAAACTTACAAAGAGCCTTACAACGTCTGTACCCCTCTACTATTGAGCTAAACCTAGACAAACTCTCATTTACATTTGTGTACATATCAAACCCACACTCTCTTGCTCTGATCAAACCTCATAGCAGAGCAACTCCCATTCCTAAACTCCTCAGACATCAGTTTCTTCATCAACTCCCCCAACCTCTCAGCGCCTTTCCCCGCTCTGAACACAGAATCCTCCCCTCTCACCAAACAAGGATCTTCTTTCTCTTCCGTCCCGATGCACCATGCTCCAGGCGTAAACCTGCTCTCCGACCGATTCAAAAGTTCTCGATCAATTTTATCCAACACGGGATCATCTTTTGGGAATTTTCTTGCGAACGGAGCGCCGCTCTTGACCATCTTGTCGAAATCTTTCATAGAGAGGGTTCGGGGGTGTTGTTTTGGGGGAGTGTCCCAGGCAATGTAGTGGAGGTCATGGCTGATGGCAGTGGTTTTGAAGTCGTTGGTATTGCAGATGACGGTGTGGAAGTACCCCTCGGGGGAGGAGACGAAGTTGACGTAGTACATGAGAATTGTTCGAGGGAGGTTCTCCCATCCCCATATGCAGTATTCAAGGAAGGGACGAGTGAGCATAACCCATGCTGAACCTGTGAAATGAATAGAGAAATTTCCTAATTTCCTTCTATTTTGTCGGGAAGAAAATGAAGAAAATAAAAGAGTGGACAAAAAATCAAGGTATAACAATGTTTTCTCTTTCTTTTTGTTTTAACTTTTTCTTGACAGTCAAATGAAGCAAAAAGGTGGGTTGTATGAATCTAACATGTTGTATCTTTGTATCTTGAATATTCTTGCAATAGCTTCGCGGTCACTACTGCATATGATTTACTGGATGCAATGCTAATAGGTGGGAGGGATAAATAGGATTCTAGATAAATAGGATTCTTATCCTACAGAGGGCCCTTTACAGAGATCATATATATAGAGGCTCGTGATATCGACACTTATACCACTATCAATTCTAAATTAGTACAATCAATATACAATATCCGTGCAGTCAAACTATTGTTCTGGTGCAGTCATGAATATTTTATCTTTGCAATCAAACTACTTTATGAGTGTAATCACCAACTTTAAAATCCATCTTAGACACATGTCCCAATCTCCTTTACTGCTCTAGAAACAAGCCTCAAGTTTAACCACGTCACTTTTCCAGCTCTAACTATTTTGGCCCTCTCGGGCTCCAAATCAATGAGTTCCGTCACATTGTACGGAACAATTAAGTCCAAACCCTACAGCATTAAATAGTCATTTAAATTAGCTTCAGAATTGAGTAATAACTAAAGTTCAATTCTATATTTTCAGTTATATTAAAGGGCTTCATCATTAAGTAATCATTGAGAGTTTAAAACACATACTTCAATTAAGATACTACTGGCCTTGTCCCTACCTGAGCTAGCCTGTTAGTTCTAAGGTTCCTTTCTCGTCTATCTATATCTAAAGTTACGAATATAGAACCAACTCACAAAGGGTTGCTGTCCAGCTGTAGTCAGTAATTGGCGTTTTCTTGCTCTTGAATTACATTAGAAATTAGCAGGAAACCTCATGTTCAGGGGAGAAAGGACCAAATGAAAAGAATTATGAGTCTATCAATCTATGCAACTTAAAATTTTAATTCACCAAAGGATTATATGTCTAATCGTCCACCGTAACACTCATTTCTGCTACATTTGTTTTGTTCTAAATTCATAAGAAAGAATTAGAAGTAAAAACAACTTATTAGTTCTCCAT